CTACGACCGAAGACGGCAGAAAGAAGTCTTCGACGTTTTCATGCGAGCCTTTCTATCCGTGGGTCCGAGTTCTCGATGCGACTCGTTCACACTCGCTATATCAGGAGCAGCTGACGGTGATTCGGAGTTTCTGATCTCGAGGGATACTCTCCGAATACCTCGAAGAATCTGTCCACCAGAACTGAATAGATCGCTACGGCGACCGCATTGGAGACAGTAGCATAAGTTTATTAAACAGAAATGCACAGTAGGCTTGCCTAAGCACACGTTCCATTCGAGCCTTCATCTATCCACTAGCGTTGACTGCGGCTTACCGCCCGGTAACGCTTTCCACTGCCGCTGCCAGTGCTACAGCAGCATACTGACCCTGACGACAACGAGGTTGTTTTCTAGTTGAAGTATAAAGAATGATCTCTTCCGTAGCACCCACGATACGTAACGTGGGGCACGACTCGCATGCCTGCCACTACCGTCCACGACGAGCCCGGTTCGCGCCCCTCGCATCACCATCCCGACCCGGAAAACGATGTTTCTATGCCCCTAATTGGCGAATTTTAAGCACGAAAACACTCCGGACAACTTTCTGGAGATTTCTGGGGGTCTCTGCAGCCGAACCTTCCCTTGCGGTGAACTGAACCGATAGCACGTGAGAGGTTAGGCCTCACCCCCCACTCGTAGTCTGGTCGTCGAACAACTCACCGTGCAAGGATCCCAATGCCTTAACTAGAGGCTTTCACGCTTCGGTCAGGCGCCCGGAACGAACAGTGGTCTTGCCCGTCGGGATAGACCGGCATTCGAGAGAAGCTAGGCTTCTTCCAGAAGACCTCGCTTGATTTTGCACCTCTCAAACCGAGTCGAACGATTCGAGCACGTCGCCTGCTCTATCTCACACACCGCACCGCTGGCTGGATGGCTGGCTGGCTCGCTCACTCGCTGCTGGATGGATGGCAGGCTGGCAGGCTGGCAGACAGGCAGGCAGCCGTAGTAGTGGCAGCAGCAGCAGGCACCACACACATCCACCACACATCCAAACACACACACAGGCGGGCCAGCTAAGGAGCTGCTGGTTCCACTATGGGCAGCGGCAGCAGAGTGCAGCAGCGACGACGACACGACAGTCGAGACACACGATGGTTGTTAGCAGACGCTCCCGGGGTGTGTCGTCTGCTAAACAGAACCATCCGATCAGCCGCGCTCACCGCCGTGCGCGTGGAAAGCGTTTTCCAGGGGAATTCGCGACATTCAAAGCTCGGTTTTCAACCACGAGGGGCTCGAATACTCCCAAAGCATTCCCACATAAGTCCATCCATCATTGAATCGGAATGTTCGGATTTATCATGGCGAAAATACACGTCGGTGCTCCAAGATCATCGCAGGCATGGTCTGGCGAGGGTGACGGGCGTGATGATGACGACGGCGGACGGCGCTCCGTTTAAATCGCCAGCAGCACCGCCACCACCCTACACACGTCAAAATCAGCTGTTGGCTATGAGAATCGAACTTTCCATGACACGACTGTCATACTGATCCTAAAGATCACGTAGATGTAAATGAAAGCCTCGTAGCCGAGCGCGCTACGCTGGGTCTCCCAGCGACGAGCCCAGATTATTATGTGCTTTAGACGGCAATAAAGAAAGCGATAGGTCACAGGGCCGGATCTACTCCCTCGATCCACAGAGCACGATGAAGACTTTGCGGTTTGGCGGTATAGAATCCCGCCCGTATATATCTGGATCGGACTCATTTCGTTCCCCGAGACGTGGTCCGATTATTCGAGGCTTCCGAATCCGTGGAAAAACACTCCTCTCACGGAATGCTTCTAGAATTCACCATCTCGAGCGATCTCTGAATCGATAAAGTGATTGCACGCATTCGATCCATCTTGTTGCTTGGTTCAGTGAGCCTCGGGCAGTCTCCCGCAGTAGACGGCGCCGATGGGTGAGACTCTGGAAATTCCCTCACGGCCACAAGTCTCGAGTCTGAACTTCTCAGACACACCTGTCGCACATCCGCTAAAGGGAAGGAACGACCGGCAATACTTTCAGTAAACTGAAGCATGCATCATATGAACTTTTCCTGATTCCCCTCTTCAATCGAATGTCTCGACTGATGACCATCAGGGTGTTCTCTCCGGAGAGTCCTACATGGATGTTTGTCCGGTGATCATCGAATCTTGGAGAAACGAGCGATCGGCGATTGTAGACCGGAACGCAACATATCTACAAATTCGCGATGATTTCGATGACAAGTGCCTGACAAGACGACTCCCGTGAATTCCAAGAGACGATTGATCGTATTCGTGACCAACCGTCTCCGATTTTTCAATAAGTATGCGTCAGCTATCTTATCCAATCTTCCGGAGCCTCGCAACATGAGAGAATCGACAGTGACCTCAAGGAATAAAGGCAGGGGCTAACTGATGTTGATCTCACTGACGGTCTCGACTCGCGTCTTACGACTGGACAAGATATTTGCAAGAAGCCCATTCGCTCTTGGACAGCGCCGCAAGCGACTCGGAATCAGGTTCCAGAACCTGCACGTAGGATGGAGACGTGTTGTTGGAAACGGAGTTCGGGATCGAGATGCATCGGGGGAGAATCCCAAGTCCTTCCGCGGTTCCATTTCGGAGGAAGTCGCTAAGAACTCCGACCGAAGCGATTGAAGCTCCGAGAAATCGCCGGAGAGAAACGTCCAGAATATCTCCGCATCCGACGCTATATCGCGGTCGCGGCGCAAGGGAAATGTTATGGTTATCCCACGAAAGCAGATCATTGTTTCGGGAGCTGTGACGAGGAGAAAAGGTTTCGAAGTTCTCTTCGGAGGAGAGCCCGGACCGCTCTGACAACCCTTCGGATAGTGATCCTCTCCAAATTACGTCAACAGAGGTGCCATCGCCTGTGCCAACTCTCCCGGCGCTGGGAATGCCGTGCGTAGCCCCTCGGTATACCTCTGCTTCGTCATTGAATGAAACGGAGCGAGGTCATCGTTGGAGGCGATGGAGCAAATTATCAAGCACGATCAATTCCCTCTGAAGTTGGTCCGCCAACATTTTCGAGCGGAATCTGCCAGATGAGTAGCGAAATTATACGACTGACTCCCTCGGCTCCACCGTGGAACCTTCGGGGCCATGTTGTCTACCAAATACGAGTCCGCGTTAGGCGAATCCCAACCTAGAACGTCATACTGAAAACGCGGTTCCGGTCGGGCATGAGGCACTCGATGTTCCACGGGAGTTCGCTGGATCTCGGAAAAGCTGACTGGGCGTCCCTTATTAAGATCGATGCGGCTTCAGAGAGCCGAAGTGACCCGAAAGGCTCCGTGACCACACATAAAATTCGATGCATACCAGTCGAGTCGATGATCGACTGATCAAACTATGATACAGATTTCCATCACGTGGATGTAGATCCTCGAATCGGGCAGAGGAGGATATTATCTTGACAACGCTTGAATGTTCGGATGCAATGCTCATGATCAAGAGCTCGTCTGACATGATAGCCCGAGCGGAAGCAACGAAACGAGGAAAATCTCATTCGCACATCTTCCGATAAATTTCTCAAAACTGGAGGAAACTTCCGACGGGTGTTATTCAGCCTCCACGGGGACGGCTCGGTTCCTTCGAATTGGAGACCAGAAATCTCGATGAAACGAATGGAATTCGATCTTATAAGACGTCTCATGATCACGAAGCGAAATTCGAGCAGCGCCCCTATCTGATAATCGGAGCTCGGATCGAGCTCAAATCTAGCGGGATCGCTCCGATTATATTATGAGCGATGGAGATAGAAGGGGTAAGCTCGTTCTCGTGAGATGCACGGAGAAACCTCTGAATCAAGGAGTCTGGAGCGTTTCCAGCCGACAGCCCTGGAACGGAAAGTCGCCGTCGAGTCCTAATGAACCTAAACTCATATCAGATAATTGCCCTAGAGCACGAATCGAACTCTGCGGAGAAAAGTTCGAGGCGGCTTCCCATGACAACCGTCGATACTGTCGTCATCGACATTCGGTTATCGAGCTCAGTTGCCGTTCGCAAGCGAGTTCCGTCGTCCGACTCACGCTTTTTCCAAACCTTTACTGTTCGGCTGAGAGTTAATGGAGCTCGGCACAAAGTGAGCTGCATAAATGTTTTTCGTGGAGGATCAGCCAGCTCTCGTCGGTCGACTTCCTAGCTGGGCTGCCGTCTGTCTGTTTGCCTACCTACCCAACTGAGTGGCTGGCAGACTGACTGACTGACTGACTGAATGAATGACTGGCTGGCTACCTGTCTTTTCCCCAACTGCTTGCTCTCGCTCCGAGATAAACGGCTATGAGGACATGAATTCACTCAGACTGAGTTCGCCACCCTACCGGGGCTCCAGACCAGAATAAGGCCGTCAGTCAGAGTTCACCATACAAGCCGCTCCGTCGAACGGCCCACAGAAATCGTAGTCGTAATGGACCAGGTGAAGAGAGCCAGAGACGGATGAGTCGCATTACGTCAACACGCCTGCACCGGACCGTCGAGCATGCCAGAAGTTCGACCGACAGAACTTAGCGGTCGAGACGAGATTCGCTTGATTTCTCTAGCTTTCTGATATAATGAAATATACATGCATGAGTCTGAACTTCCATCGGGAGCTAGCTTTACACAGCACACCTTCGTCACGAGGTCGCGGCCATCGAGGGTGACATAAGGCCCTGGAGGAGCCACGCCGACTTACGCATAACACGTTCAAGAAGCTGCGCGATTCACGGTGATTGTATTCGTGAGCTCACAGGGTCTATACCTCGCGAAGAAACTCTCTGCTGGCTTTCAGATACAGAAAAACCGCAGAAGTCCACCCTAGTTGCGGACCACATGTCTACGGCATGTGAACGCCTTCGAGTGCGATCCCAGCACCGAGACCATCCAGAGATTTCTCGATCCTTGCTTGAACCACCCCCCGAGTAACCTATCATGGACCGTGCTCGTATTTATCGAGCATAAGAGGTTTAAAAGGAAAAACTGCGAAAGTACTCACTCTTTAGCAAACGTGTTTTCTTGGGCTCTGTGACCGCTCGGTTCCTCGCAGACGATTTTCCACTGGCAAGCGCCATCTGGAGACTGTGTGCGCAAACTATCGCGATTCTGAAACTCTACTTGCACAAATTTGAAAGCCGCCAAATTCGCTCGGAAGTCTCGGCCTGGGAGGTGGCTCAACTTTGCTTCGAGGAACTCACGAAGAATCGGCATTGTTTCTCGAGAATTTCTCGAAATCCCGATGACGTCAGATGTAAACACAGATCATCTGGTGATGGTGGGTCGCTTCGAAAAGATTTCTGTGTGTTAGCTTTCCGTGTTGGTCGCGGTCGTGTTTAAGGACCTGCGCTTGAGGGACGCTCGAGAAGTTCGCGTCATCTTCTGCTGGCTCGTCGATAGTCGGTAAGGTTGATCGCCTGTCACTTCCGAAATTCATTCTTCCGGATACAGTGGAAGTGAGACATCGCTGCTTTGAATATTTCTCTAAATAGCGACGGGTCACCCCGAATATGGTAGCGGTCGGTTCACGGCTGTATTTGCGTATATTTCCCCTCTATGAGAATCATGCGTCTGGAATTTCGTAGCCCTGTGCGTCAAATCCCGAGGGGACTGAAAGCTGACGTGCAATCCAGGTGGGCGGTTTATCACGTTTTGAGCCGGCCATAGATGCTGCGGTGGGTCGTCGCGTCGTCGTCTCGGGAGATTAGAAGATATCTCTATTCGCTTTCGGCTCGCTATAGTGTCGTTGTTGACGACATCGACGACGCTACCTCCATGACTAATTCCTGCTTCCTGGAATTTCCCGAAAAGTCAAGGGAACGATCCTTTTCGAATTCATCGGCCCGAGAGCTCTGAAGACCCAAGAGAGGAGAAGGCTTCTCCCCCCCCCCGAGTTCCAGATAATCGATCGAAGTCTGGGTCTCTCTCTCGATCTATCCATAGGCCGGAAAAGCGGAACATTCGGTTGAATCCTCTCCAGACTGATCCGGAGTTCGAATCCGTGGTTGCAACTACGCTCATAAGCTTATCATATCTGTTCACTTGTTCTTCCGATCATCCATTGGTCCTCCGAACCACTTCCTCCTTCCAGGTGGATAGACTCCATCTATCCGATGATTGATTTCGACGGCCCCAGAAGAACAAGAGAGGAAAAATTCCGTCACTAACTTGAATACATTCTCTCGCAGTCGGAAGAAACAACCATGGCAGATATCGAGGAAGCAAAAAAAGATTTCCTACCGCCGCCAGGATGGAAGCGCAACCCGATTCTACTGAAATTGAAAAAACTCGACGAGGCCTTGAGCTACAGACTGACATTCGCGTACGATGAATCCTCTTGTCTCGGAGCCTACAGGGTGAGTTTCTCAATCGTCGACATCCGGTCGGGCGCTGGAAAGTCAGCATGCTTGATTCACCAATTTCGATCGCGTGCACTGTCGCTTCGATTTTCGGGAGCCAGATGATTGATTTTTTAAAACTTTTTTCTTCAATAATTTCCGCTTCCAGCGAAAGCTTGTCGTGTTCGAGCGATCGGCTCATACGCTCATCTGCTTCGGGGTCGCCTTATTGTTCTGGTGGATGAGCGCCTCGATGGAGTCTCGAGCCGTCTACACCAACATCATTCTTGGTGATTTGAGGACATCTTTGTTACAGGAGATCACATCAGAAAAGATTATTATCTATCGAACTGCTTTGGATGTCGTATGACGATGATGTCATTTCCCTTCCAGCACTCTGCATCGATGTATTTGTTGTCGCCATCGTCAAATCTATGGCGAGAAGGCGTCGACCGGGAGTAACGAAATCCGCCTACGATAATGACCCCTCGTCAACGAATCTCAGTTTCCCTAGTGGCTTCGTCTCCCGAGCGACCCTGCTGGCGTTGATTCTCGCCAGCGAGGGATTCTCACCGATAAGCTTATTCCTATTCCTGCTCTGGGCGGGCGCGATGCTTCTGACGAAACTCTTCCTAGGACGGCAAGTAGAACTAAGCTTCAAATCCAAGCTCACGACCTAGTGGAAAAATGTGTCATTTATTCAGCGGGGAGCATCTGGTAATCGATCCGATACGCTGATCGCCCTTCCCATCAACATTTCTCCTGTCGGATTTACAGGTTTTTCCTCGGTGACGCTCTGGGCGCTGTTCCTCTCGGATACTTGACCTATCAATTCATTGATCTTGTGTGGCTGGATGCCGACGATGTGATCGCTATGGAAGCCTTCTTCGGGGGACAGCTTGGCGATTGAAGGGAATTTGTTTTTCGATGTTCCTCATTGATGTCCTTTGCTTTCTCGCCGATGAGCTATCACGGTCCTTGTTGAAGTCATCCCACCAAATGGCGTTTGGATAAGGCTGTTATTTATTCTGTAATAAATGGAACATGTTGAATCTTTTTTCGAGATCCCTCCGCTGCGGGCAGCAGCTAGGCCTCGCAAATAACCGCGAATTCCGAAGACCGCGGTTCGCGATTAGTCCAAAACCGCAAAAAGAAAACCGCGGTTTAAATCGATTAAAAATCGCACTTTCCTCTGGAGCTTGCCGAGCCTCAGAATGAGCATAATATATGCTGTCAAATACCTCATAATAATCGTGATGTTCATATCAGTCCCCCGGCGATCGGGAAAAAGCGAGTTTTCCAATAATTTAAAAGTACGCGGGATAAGAGAGCGAACCTCTCTGTTCATAACATGCAGACGAGAATAAATTGTGTTCAGTGTATGACGTCAAGTCGAAATGCCGGTGTCTTGAAGATCTAGCGTTTAGTCAGTGAAAACATAGGGAATCCCAGCCCGAAGGCAAGCAGCCAACCCCGATCCGAACTATACTTCACACTGGTGCCGTGCCAGGATCATAAAGGCATTGCTTTCGCCGGAGAGTATTCCGCTCCGTGTTCAAGCGCCGGGTGACGATGACGAAGCCCTCTGCAATACCGAAACCGTCGAAGCCCATGACTCCGGCGGTGATCAGATCCCTCCGCACGAAATGCAGAAATCGGGTTTCTGCGATGATTGACCAAGTCAATGCAGTCAGAGCAGAGCACCCGATTGAAGCCAAGCAGGAGGAGCTCGAACCGATCCTCATCCAGCTCAAAGAGGCCTTCGAGAAGATCGAGGCTTATGACCAACTCATCTTCGCCCATGACGAGATCGAGGAGGAACAGCGACTGAGAGATATCGACGAAGTTGAGGACTTGAATCAGCCAGCGCGCCAAGTAATAGCCGAGCTCACTGCGGCTTTGAGCCGAAACAGATCTCCATCTGCACATTCAACCCCAAATGCGTCTACGGCGCATGAAACCCACGCGCTGGAGCAGGATGGCCTTGGAGAGACGAGCCGGGCGGCCGAGAGAGCTCCGCAGGTTGTTCTAGCGCGCCCGAAGGCGCTCGACATTTCTCCGGAAACATTCAATGGAGATCGACTCAAGTTTAGACAGTTCATCGTTCAGTTTCAATGCTTCGTGAAGCAAAGGCCATCCTCCAGTCCAATGGAGCGCCTCATGGTCTTGAGAAAATTCCTCAGCGACGAGCCGAAGCGACTAATCAGCTCCCTCGAATTAACCGATGCGAATTACGACGTAGCGATCCGTATGCTCGAAGACAACTACGCAAGAGTCGAGACGGAGAAACAGAGACTTCTCGCAGAGCTCAGGGGTCTCCCCCGAGTTCACCGGCTTGATGACACAAAGGCCCTGCGAAGACTTCTGACGAAAGTGCAGGCTCATGTGCTTACGCTTGAGTCCCATGGCGTACCGCTCAGCCAACTCGCGCTCTCCCTGAAATCATCTCTCGAGTCGGCCATACCGCCTGAATTGCGCCAACGATTCAAAGAGAGCTGCCGTTTGGAGAAGCGTTTCTCTGCCCTCGCCCCTAATTCGGAAGGTGGAAGTACATCAAGATCATCGCTCCGGAGTCAAAACAATAACAGTCTAAGTGGCGACAGTGATTCCAATGGCGCAGTGGAAGAGATTGAGCAATTATTCGAATTCTTACGCCGCTACGTGATCGATCGTGAGGATGTCGGATTCCTTGATACCGCCACAACGGGTGCCGGTACACGTGAGGAAAATGAAAGCCGAAGGGGAAAGCATCTTGATCGCCGAAAGCACTTCAGCGCAACCGTCGGAGGTGTTTCTCAGAGTGGAGCAGCTACGAGGTTCGTCCGGGCGTGCTTATTCTGCAAAACCACGGAGCACAATACTTCTCGGTGCAAGGCAGGGCTCCCCATCGACCAGCGACGAGACACGCTCACGCAGCAGAAGCGGTGCCACAGATGCTTCCGTTTTGAGCATGAAAACCCGGGACAGTGTCGAGGTCCTCGCGCGCCGTGCTCGGTATGCCGCTCCCGCGAGCATTATACGTCCATGCACGATGGTGAGGTTCAGGGCCAAGAGAAGGGTGCATCTGGGGAACCCGTGAGGGGAACGACGTGCGGAGCCGCTCTCGGTGGAGACACTCTCCTTCTCACGACGTCTGCCTACATAGTGAACGGTGGACTGAGGATTCCGGTGAGGGTTTTCTTGGACCACGGCAGTAGTTTAACCTTCATCTCGCCATCTACCCGTGGACTTCTCAGGACAGAGAGACCGGTTCATCGGGCGAGTTTAAACGTGCACGGGTTCGCGGCCCAGCATACCTTCACCACATCGCGATACCGGATTCGTTTGGCAAACCTCGCTGGCGACTACAATGTTGAGTTGCTTGCTTACGAGTACGAGTTCGGGGTGCATCCTTCGGATCAGGGAGCTCGGCGTGCTGCTGAAGCCATCAGGAGATTTGGCGAAAGCCATCCTCTGGCGGATCCGTCAATTGTTGAGGAGCAGGCGTCTCCGGCTCCAGACATCCTGGTTGGCCTGGACCAGCTATATAAGATCATGTCGATTGGCTCACGCTCGGAAAGCGTTGTTGGAAATCTGAGTGCCTTCGAGACCCGGTTTGGTTGGGTTATTGGAGGACCGGTAACATCAGATTCCGCGAAGGCGTCGGCCGGGGTTGCCGCGATACATCTGGTCTGCTGCACGGCGACCATGTCACAGCCGGCCAAGGATTTGGAGAGACTGTGGGCGCAAGATACGGTTGGAGAATCCGGGGAGGCGTCATTGAGGTCCTTATCGTCTGATGAAGCAGAGGCGCTCAAGCAATTCCACGATAATCTGGAACATGACGGCCGCCAATACGTCGTCACTCTTCCGAAGAGGGACACCATCGCGGGTCTCTCTAACAACATGTCGACGGCTCTCGGACGTCTTGAGAGGAAGATTGATCAGCTCCGAAGAGACCAAGCGAAGTACGAGAGATACCACCACGAGATCATGAAGTTCGTAGACGAGGGACACGCCGAAGAGATTGACTTTTCCGGACCGAGCGATTCAGACCAGTGCGACGGAACCTACTACATGGCACACCACGCTGTTGTGTCAACATCTGACGCTGATGAAAAATGGAGGGTGGTGTTCGACTGCTCGGCAAAGGCAAAAGGAGCGTCATCGTTGAACGACCATCTCCTGCCTGGGCCGAATTTGAATGCTGACCTGGTCACCCTACTCCTAAATTTTCGTTTGCACCCGATTGCGGTCTGCTCGGATATCGCTCGTGCGTATATGAGGATCGCTGTTACCAAATCAGACAGCGATTTTTTCCGTTTCCTCTGGAGACCCCCACGTGAAGAGGCAGTCAAATGCTACCGAATGCGCAAGGTCACCTGGGGGGCGGCGCCGAGTGGATTCCTTCTTGCGGCAACCCTCAGGGAGCATTTCAGGAGGACCAGCCCAGCCGAGGCGAAAGACCTCAGCGAATCATTCTACGCTGACGACTTCGTCAGAAGCTTCGAGAATTCCAATGAGGCTATCGAGTTCACGGACCGCCTGCGAGCAACTCTTTCTCAAGCTGGCATGTCACTCGCTAAATGGAAAACAAACTCCAGCGAGGTTCATGCGACACGTCAATCGCGACGCGCTTCCATCGCTGAAGGTGCCGGCGCCTGCAGGTAACGTCTTCAAGGTGTGGGGTGTCTCCTGGCTGCCCGCAAAGGACAGGCTTCGCTTCTGTCTATCACCGCTCGAGGACCGTGCGGGATCTCAGAGAACGTTGACCAAGCGCATAGTTCTAAGCTTGGTTGCCTCCATCTACGATCCCCTCGGCCTGCTGACACCCTACACACTTCGAGGGAAGAGGATCGTCCAGAAGTTGTGGTGCGAGGACTTGCAGTGGAACCAGACCGTCGGAGAAGACTTGCGAGCTGAGCTCATCGAGTGGACAAGGGAGCTCAGGACGCTGAATGAATTCGATCTACCGCGCCGATATAACGCTTCAGGCGGAAAACCCTCTTCTTATCACCTCCACATATTCGGCGACGCTTCGCAGGCAGCGTACGCCAGCGTAGCATACATCGAATATCGGTACGCTGATGGACACTCGGATACGGCGTTGGTGATGAGCAAGTCGAAGCTCGCTCCTAGGAAGCCGACAGCCTCGCACTCCCTCCCGCGGCTTGAGCTATTAGCAGCGCTCATGAGCGTTCGACTCAAGGCGTTCCTGACTGAACGTATGGCGGTTAAATTCGACGAGGTGACATTCTACACGGACTCCATGATAACATACTACTGGGCTACAGCAGCTAACCCAGGGAGGTGGAAGACGTTCGTGTCGAATCGAGTGGGCGAGATCCAGAGACAGTCGAGAAGTGAACAATGGCATTTCGTGCCCGGCGAGCACAATGTCGCAGACCTAGCCACACGCGGAATCTCGGCTGGAGCTCTCGTCGGGTCTGCTGAGTGGACATCCGGACCTGCTTGGATCCGTCTGCCACGTGAGGAGCGACCAACCTCTCAGCCTAGAGCCGCGGCTGAGATTGCCGGAACCCCATCCGTCGAACGCCGCCAGTTTGTTGGCGCTGTGGTGGAAAGCGCGCCCCTCGTCGACTGGGACCGTTTCAGTACATTCGGGAAGGCGAGGCGAGTTGTCGCGAACGTTCTCAAGTTTCTGAACCTCGTTCGAAGGCGACCGGTTCCCGCCGGAACGCGGCTGACATCGGAGGCTGAGATATTGCTTCTACGGTGGACTCAACGGGAGCACTTCTCGGCAGAGGTGAACGCGACAAAATCTCAGGAGCGAGTCCCATCCAGTTCGAAACTCGCTGCGTATTGTCTCTTCATTGACGGAGATGGGCTCCTGAGGGTGAAGACGCGGCTGAGTCAAGCACCACATCTGAACTACGACGAGAGAAACCCAGTTGTGGTGGCGGGTGAATCTCGGATTGCTCGACTGATGATTCTGGAGGTACATCGCATAAATGCTCACTTCGGAGTGTCGACTGTTCTTAATCATATTCGACGACGTTTCCTAATCACTCGGGCCCGGCAGGTCATCAAATCTATGCTGGCCAAGTGCGTGGTTTGCAGGAAGCGACAGGGTGCTCATGCTGCGCAGATCGAGGCTCCGCTGCCGGACTATCGAAGCGAACTCACGACGCCTTTCGCAACTACGGGGGTCGACTTTGTGGACCTTTCCTGACGCGTAGCCGAGAGGGAAATTTCAAGTCGTACGTGGCGTTGTTTGCCTGTACATCAATCCGTGCTGTTCACCTGGAACTTGTGCCTTCAATGTCGACGCCTCAGACGCACTTGGCTCTTCGACGGTTCCTGAGTAGCTATCCGGCTTGCTCCATGTTCGTATCCGATAACGGACGGTCCTTCGTCAAGGCCGCTACAGACATAAAACGGCTGTTTAACTCGGTGAGGGACCCGAAGGTGAAGGAGCTTCTCGCCGGCAGGAAGCTGGATTGGCACTTTCTGTGTCCGCGTGCCAGCTGGCACGCTGGATTCTACGAGCGCCTTGTCGGGACGGTCAAGGCGGCCTTGTACCGCACCTTGGGGAAGAGTCTGCTCAACTACGAAGAGTTTCGAACTGTGCTGAGTGAGCTGGCAACGACGATCAACGAGCGACCGCTCACCTACGTCGCCACGGACCCCGAGGTTCCAGTGGCATTGACGCCAGCAATGTTTCTCCGTGACGGGGCTCCACGAGCAGCGATTGCCTCTCTGATACCCACCGATAGACTGGGGCCTGAGCCTGCGGCGACGGCGAAGAGCCTACGGGATACGCACGCGCACCGTACATCATATTCCAAGGCCTTGCAGGTCCGGTGGTATCGCGAATACCTGCTCCAACTTAGAACGGCAACACAAACCGCTGGCACGCCTGCGAAACCATCAGCATCGGGGACGTGTGCATT